ATAAATACGTTTTTATTTATATATATAAATACGTGGAGCTTTGGCATAAATAAAAAGTTTTATTAAGTAAATATAGAGATTATCTATAACTAGGGATTCTATGGGTTATGTGTTAAAGCCAGCCCACCTTTCCAGGATGGGTTGTTTTTTTCCTAAATCTGATAACCTTCCAAATACAAGTCCATACAGTTTTTGTGGATAAGTTTGTTAAGTATTTGCATGTCTTAGTTGATGCAGAAGAATCCAGCACACCTGTAGATACTGTTTCAGAGCCAAATCTTGCAAACAATCAGTCACACTTGAATTTTTGATGGACTCCGTTTCCTAAGATACCCTGCTCCAGTAGTTGGCTCCAAAAATGCATTTGGATTAAAATTCATGAGACCATTTAAAAAATGAGCTTTTCCAGCCTATTATTTTGGCTTACTGTTGCTTCTAGAATTGATGCTAACTCATCTCCTTCCAAAACTGTTTGAAAATTTACTGAAGCTTCTTTTTGTCCTTCTTACTGTTTCTTTCACAGATCACAGTTCTCCAAAATGGCTGAGAAACCTATATTCTGGTGCTCAAGTTTTATAAAAAGAAGGGAACACTGGCTAACATCCAGTAGAAAGTCACAAGTAGAGTAGAGCCACTGAATCAGTGGAATTTATGGAAGAGTTGATTCACCAAATCCTCTTTGATTCAATGGGTCTACTCTAGTTGTGACTTCCCACTGGATTTCAGGCACTGTAACATTGCCTCCCCTCCCCCCCCAAATCACAACATTATAAACTAAGCTGCTGGCAGTTACCACATACAAAAATACTCCCAAATAAGGCAGCTACAATGTAGAGGGTATTTGTTGTTGGTGGTGGTGGTTAGTTCTAGCTTTTTTTAAAGGCATGCTAAAGTATTGGGGACATGGCCAGCTTTGCATTATTACTGCAGTGAAAGAACTGGTTGTATTTCTGTCTCCTGTCATGGCAGAGTCCTCAAGTGATAAAACATATTTTGAGCAGTAAACAGCTGATGAGGATCTCAAGGGTGTCACACTATATAATTCAGATCTTGTTAGCTGTCAGTAGATGGTCTTTCAGAATTCTTTGCCCTTTCTAGGCTGAAGGTTTCAAGGAAAGATTTCACCAGATTTAGCAATCTTTTGCGTTGAAGTTCTTGAGTCCATCAACAGAGACAAGTGCAAGGAGAAAACTTGCTAAATAGAACACAATTAGAACTGTGTTTATAGGACAGAGATGAGAAAGAGGTGTGCCCCTGGACCCCCAGCACTTTCTCATACTGCAAAGAAATACTTAAATATTTGGGGGGATAAATAGGGCAAAAATGTTCTTTTATGCATTCATTGCAAGTTAACTCCAAAGACTCTTGCTTCTCTTTTTATTATGCTCTTTTGGCTTGTGGTGAGCAAATAATTCTGCTTGTATCTTTCAAATAATTGCTATAAATTAGAAATTATTCTGGTGTCATAATTTATCAGCTGCTCTTTATTCTGAGCTTACAATATACAATTTGAATGCAGAAAGGCTGCCTTCTTCTGTCTTGAAGATGAGATAGAGGTAGAATGAAGTATTATAAAAAAGTATGCCTCTCTTCATCTTACGCCTGTGAGGAATATCACTATCACACCCACCAAAGAATAGAAGAAAGCAGTTTTCATAAAGACAGACTACAAGCTATTATATCCTCTGGGGAAGGGAATTTCTTGATGCCAGAAACCACTCAACAAAAATCATCTCTGAAGGTCTAATATTATCAGTATTTTTTCATGCTAAGGAAGGCTTAACATCTGGCAGTGTTCTTTTTCTGCTTTTGTTTTAGGTTTTGATGAAAGAATGGCTTCTTCTATGCTTGCTTGGTCTTTACAACATATTTTGTGTTTTGTTCTCTGAGAAGAAATAAGCATGTATTTACAGTTATTCCTCTTTCATAGTGAGTTACTTCTCCCAACAACAACAAAATCAAAAGATATTTTGTAATCACTAAATCTGCCACTACTGTTTGCTTTCTGTAGGGGATGATAGCCCACTACTTAGTCAAATACTACTGAGAATAAATGATACTGGGAATAAAAAAAACACTGAAGCTGATATTTTGTAGTTTACATTATATGGGAAATACATACTAGCAAGATATGCTATCTATGAAGGCATTTATCAAGCCATTTTGTTCAATAAGGTTATGAGCAAGGTTTCACATAAAACCAGAACATGCCAAAATTGCACCACATTCTGAAGTTTAAATGATCCCAAGTACTTTGGAAATAGCTTTGAAGTATTTTCATTGTCTCCTGCTATCCCTTGTTGTCAGCTGTCCTTTACCTATGCCTCCCTCACTGATTTAAACAAACAGCATTGTGGAATATTTTGCCCTTTTTTGTAGCAACCTTTTCCATGCTGGTGAGTCTTATCTGATCACATTATTGTGATAAAGTAATCATCATCATGCTGGTGAGTCAAAAATGACAGCAGCTGAGTAACCACTTGCTCCCTTAACAACATCCCTGTTTCAGCTGTGTTCTTTGATGACAACATGATGGGATTCTAAGTGATAAAACATATTTCCTGAAATATCAAGCTGCTTTCCTTTATCCTTGTTTTTTTTTCTAAGTAAAACTGCTTCCTTGCCTAGCCTAATAGCATGAATTACACTCAGAAGGATGGAAGGGCATATTATAATTCCACTTTAAAAAGAAGTAGTGATTCAAAGCAAAGCAAGGGTATACAGGTGAGATGTGAAACTCTCCCTTATGTTTTCCAACCTTGATTATTTACAATTTAAAAAATTTAATGTTGATTTAATTTAATTTTAATATAAGGTGGGAAGGTGGAAGGGTGGGAGTTATTTCTAGTCACAGAGCTCCGCTGGAATAAAAATGTTTTGTGTTTTATTTTTTAAATTTAAAAAAGCAGGCTTGCTGGGCAAAATGCTCAGTTCCACTCTCATGTACATCACTTTAAATTGCCGATCTCCACTGCTCACAGGGGATTTCGTACCAGAACATTATTTAAAATGGTATGCCCACTGCTAACTTGAGGACCACAAACTGCTCATGAGCTCAAAAAAAAAACAAAACAAAACAAAAAACCTTCCTTCCCATCCATTGGAAGCTTGCAAACTTTTTCTTCATTTGTTTATTTAAGATATTTCTAAATGGCTCATTATTAACAAATAATCTCAATTAGTGAACAGTATGAGAATTAAGCAAAGCAAAACAAAATGTTAAAAATAGGGTAAAAACACTTGATAAACAAGGGTAAGGTAAAGGTAAAGGTTCCTCTTGACATTTTCAGTCCAGTCGTGTCCAACTTTAGGGGGCGGTGCTCATCCCATTTTCAAGCCGTAGAGCCAGCTCCTGTCCGAAGACAGTTTCCATTGTCACATGGCCAGCGTGACTAGGGAACGCTGTTTTACCTTCCCACTGAGGGGGTACCTATTTATCTACTCACATTTGCATGCTTTCGAACTGCTAGATTGGCGAGGAGCTGGGACAAAGTGACAGGAGCTCACTCGGTTGCATGGATTCGTTCTTACGACTGCTAGTCTTCTGACCCTGCAGCACACAAAGGCTTCTGCGGTTTAGCCTGCAGCGCCACCACGTCCTGATAAACAAGGGTAGGATTCAGCATTAAGAACTGGGAAAGGCTTGAACTGTGTCTTAAGAAAATGATGAAAACAAATTGCAGAAAATACTTCTGCAATTACTGAACATTTGGAATTCTGGGGTTGTACTGTACATATGAAAATAAAACATGTGACAGTTCCCTCACATCCAGGATAACCAACAATACAATCAGATCATAAACTCAGTAATCAGAGTCAAGTGAAGGATCTTGTTAAACCTTCCTAGTAGGCCTTTCTGTCCCCTGGTTTACTGCCATCAAGAGATGCAGGGAATAACATTTATCACATAAAGATATTTACTTCATTTCCTTTCTCAAAAAAATAATTTAACATTTTGGTGCCTGTAATACAGTTTTATTCAGTAGAAACTTTTAAAATGTGCTAATAATTAGTTCTTCTAACGGCTTCTAATGGAAATCTAGTGCTTTCCCAATACCTCAGAAATAATCTTAATTCTAGTTAATTTTCTAGACAGCTAAGAGCAGCAGCTTTATATGTTGGATACCTGCAAGGGCATATAGTTAATGCAAATAAAGAATTTCTCTCTGTGTTGGCTAGAAACTGAATAATACACTTGAACCTTACTTTGGCAGAATAATAAGAGATTTTGGCAGAGTAAGAAGCTTTACCATTCTGATAAATGTGTAAGTCTCTTATCGTTGCTCCTCCTCTTTTCTTGAATTTGAGCAACAGATGTAAGAATATTTATTTCTTTTCATTTAGATTACAGCCCTTAAACAGACTTGCTTTGGGGTACAAAACCCATTTTGTAAGCCAGGATACAATGTTTAGTTAGCCAGAACCCCATCAGTAACTAAGGCTGTAATTTCACACACACTTTTTCATAACATAAGGCTTACTTCTGAATAAATACATAGGATTGTGCTCTAAAAGAGCCATTTTCAACTTCTTTTAGCCACAGCCATAAAGACAATATGAAAGAAATATAGACCGAATCAGGATTCTATAAGGTGCATAACAAACCTTGTAAAGGAACGTGTGAGGAATTGTTTCCAGTCTGTGGCCACCTTCAAATGTGCCAGCTCCCCACCCCCAGGGGATGACATATGGCCCCTGTTGAGAATAGCTGCTCTAAAATGTGATACTTTTTAAGCTTCCTCATATCAGTATTTGAAGCTTCATTACCATATCCATTAAGGTGTTAGTACATCCATTTGGGTTTTGTTAAGGTTTGTGTTTTTTTTTTTTAAGAAAGGCTGCAGTCCTAAACACAAAGTAGACATTTTTGGGACCGTACCACAAGTATCAGGTTTGCATGAGGCAGAAAACTATTGTCTAGAGTAGCTCTATATGCCAACAGCAGAAGAGTTGTGTACCCTCCCAACATTTATCTTGATCACATTATAAAGGGCCTTCTCTCAGTTTCTTTATAAACAAATTTAAAAATGGTTCATATCAATATTTTAATCTTAATTATTGAATTAGATCTGTTCACCAAAATAACCTTTACAAATGATAACATTTTTAAAGAGTAGCCTTGGCAGCCAGACGAGTGGTATAGAAGTCAAATAAATAAATATAAATAAATATCACTCCAAAACTTGTTTTGAAGAGAGGGGCCAAAATTAAAGTCTAAAATCTGGTTTCAGTTAGAGTATTGAAAAACATATTTGAAGAAAATAATCAAATGTTTCATAAAACCCTTTTAGGACAAACTAACTGCTTTTAGCATTTTTATTTATGTTAAGAGTGTATAAAGGATCCTTATCATAACTGCTTGACAATATGTTATATTTGATTTGATTGGTTCTCTGTAACACATAGTCCATTATACTTTGCAGAAAGAACTCTTGACTGAGCCTATTGTATTACATTCATTATGCTAACTTCAAGGAGAAAAGGGAAAAAAGCAGGTATCTGAACATGAACAAGAAAAACAAAAGGAGAGGGAAAGAAACAGGCAGAACAGATAAAGAATGAGTAGGATAAGTGAGTGCTTTACAAATCAAAGCAGATGTATAAAAATTACAAGCTGTCGGATCAGCAACGGAAATGAAGATGATAAAGTGGTTCCCTATACAGATTATAATTATTCATTTTGCCCAGTCCTGCATCTTTTCCTCACAAACCTCTTCAGGGAGAAATGGGAAGATACTGAAGGAGATGAGGTTGACTCACATGAAAAGAGGAAAAATCAGTCTAGTACGTCTCTAAGGCTATAAAACAGTCAATATATTTTGGATTTCATTTAATCACAATGATTTTTGTCTAGGCTCCAAGAAAATTCTCACAGACATTTTTGATTTATGAAAAGAGTATTTCTAAATGGAAGTTCTCAAAACTGTGATGTTGTTCTTATGTGTATTTACAGTTAGCACCAATGTAGGTACTGCCTGTATGGTGAACAGTGTAGGAATAATTAATGGACACTACTTTGATAGTTCCTGCAGATGGATTGCTGCGATTTAGATTGTGTTAAAGAAATGAAATATTTTACATAGTTATCCCAGAAAATATATATTTAATTTAGTTTATAATTAGCTTCACTTCTACCATGCCTCCAAAAGGACTGTTGGATGGTAACAAAATTGAGGATAGACAGCAAACTATTAAAGCTTATTAAAATATGTAATGACCTTTTAAGAAGAAATAGTAAGAAGCTGTATTGCTGTTTTTTAAAGATTAACAGAAAAGGAAATGGAAATGATTTGTAAATCGCTCTTGTTTTCACCATGTAACGTTCACGTTTTCCAAATAAGGGATAAGTGACATGTAACCCATGGGCTGCATTCAGCCTCCTAGACTCCCAAATATGGGCACCCTGGATCCACAATTTAAAAAGAAAAGACTTTTTTTCTAGCTCAAAAAGTCCCCTTGTATTCTTTAGGAGGCTTGAGGACAATTCTCCACTGATGTGGGTCTACTTCAGTGGTTTAAGATGAAGGAGGGCATTTCCCCCCCCCAAAACAAAACCTCAGATATTTCAGAGGCAGCAAACGGCATGAAAAGAAGAAAAGAACGATTGATATTTTGGGGGCAGGGGGAAGGGAAACAAATATGGATGTCAAGGGATGGGCATGTGCCCACTTCAACCTATGGAAATTGCTCACATTTTATCCCATAAGAAAAAGAGGCCTGGTGATACTGGACTGAATTCCAGTTTAGTCTGTATTAGAGTCACTGACAATTACCACTTTTTTCTTTAGTATTACCGTACTCTAGGTATGGCTATATTTGGATCCCAACTTGTGCCTTTCCAAAACAATGCCAGATGAAAGGCAAACTATTCTTTCATGTTCTACTGTTCACGTGAGAAAAACTGTGGTCATATTTCTTGTTGTTTTTAGTGATATCAAGCAATTATCAGACCTGTTTGGGACTACTCATGCATTATCCCCCTATTGGAGATGTCCATTCATTGATCATGAGAGCTCTTTTTCTCAGAGATCCAAAGGTAAGTAATGCCAATCATATATAGTAGCTTTATCCTCGTTAGCCTTTAGCAATTTTGCTTTCTAATTCTGAGATAGAAACCTGTTTCTTTGAATTTTTCCCATGCCCTCCACTGAGGGAGCCTTCCCCATGCCTTCTAATACTTGCAAGTAAACATTGAAGTTGATGTTCTGTATTTATTCATTTACTGGCATCCATTAATAGTGACAAATCATGTCAAAGGTAAATAGAGGCTTTGAATCATAAAACAGAAGGAGTCATAACATTGGCTGTTATGTATCCAATAACATAGCACCAATCTCCTGTGCCCTCCAGGAGTTTGTGACCTCCCCCAGCTGTTCAGCTTCAAATAAAGGCCTTTTTTTTTCTGGCGGGTTCTAGAGGTGTGATTTGCTCTTTTGAGGCCAAAAGGCTTTCCCAGGAAGTCAACAGCAGAGGAGTGTATGTTTTTCCAAAATGGCAAAAATTGCCTTCCAACTCTCAAACATTGTACACTTCTGCACTAGTGATTGCATACGTTCAGAGTGAACATAATGGTGGTATCCAGTACTGGTTTTGTTGTGTGAGCAGTTGTGCAAGTGGTTGCACCAGATTCACACAATGATTTGCATGACTTGTGGAATAGTATAATCCAGTGCAACTGCACTAAAGTGAAAGCAATACCACTTGCATAATGCAGGATACTACATTTTTACTATCCTTGCTACCCTATAAGTTTCTACAGCCCATAGACAGCACTTTAGAAGTTGGAGGGCCGTCCAGAACAGTACAGGATTCAGAGGACTGCAGTATTGATTAGCTATAGTCTGGTCCCCCACCCGAAATGAGCAGAAACAATATACCATTACTGTAAAGCCACTATTGGTGGTGGCAGTCCAGGATATTTAAAATATTATGCACTAAATATTTCTATAGGCAAGATTATCTTTAGCAAATAACATAAGTTGTTCAAAATGGAGGCATGAAAAAGTGGCTCCATAAAGACTTACTGAGTCTGTTCATGAAATGAATGGTAGAAGGCAACAGCTTTTATCTCCATATATGTGAGGTGAAATGTGAAATACAGCTGGAGTAGCAAGCATCCTCAGTCTTTTATAATCTAGAATCAATAATAAAGAAATACTGCATAGGCTAAACCTTTATTTCTGTGGGAGCCACTTTTAGACTGTGAAGAAATTATGTAGTCTTCTTAATTGCTGATTGTTTTCTTTAAGAAATAAGTGAAATTCCTACAATGATTATTTTACTTCTTTTTGAAGTGTTGTTATTTTAATAATTTTTATGCTACTGTGTGAATACTCAGCTTTTTACTTGTACATAAATGTTTCCCTTTTGATGATAAACAAGATCCATCACCTGCCACAGCATCTAAAAGTGTGTCTTACAATTCTGGAGATTCTGCAGACGCAGGTATTAAACATGTTTGAGATGATGCACTTGAAAAACATGACACCATTCCTTCCAGAAAACACTTCTTAACTGGGTTTGTAACTGTGCATTCTGGGAAATAAAATCTGTAATATATTTTATGACTTTTTGGGTCCCCATAACAAGTAGAAGGGAGATCAAGGCGTTAAAAAAAATCTGAAAACAGGGGTAAATGTTGGTAATCATTTTAAACAAAATAATGAGATCTGCTTATTTTAACTCTCCAAAGGAGATTTCTCATACTTTTCACAGTGTGTCCTCAGTGTTAACTACAGGCATTTCATACTTTTTCATAAAGTGATGCTAATAGGTTTTACACACAAAGTAGGCAAGACTGTTCTTTTTAGAGTAGTGCAGAGTTTTTAAATTCATGTTTGAGGGAAATAGAACTGATTTTTTTAATATGAGCATTTTAAATGATTTCCTAGAAAATCACTTGTGAATTCTTCCACTCCTCTCACAGTCTAACTAGCTGTACTGTCTGGAAAAGATTGTTTTTATGGAGCAGTCCTGTCTGCTCCCATTGGTGGAGTGCCACTGAGTTTGGTGGGCTTACTCTGTTATGTATGCACAGGAGTGCAGTCCTCGTATTTTCTAAGAAATCAATTAATATCATGACAAAAACAATCAAAATCAAAATAAAATAGTTGCCAACTCCACATATTCCTTGTTGTATTTTTGCTCACTCTTAAGGAAGCATTGTTGCTTCTTAGGAAGACGATCTGCAGCACAACCTGTGATCCATCTTGACTAGTATGTGCCTAATTTCAGCCTGGAAACTAAAATTCTATAGGAAGATTAAATAACTAGTAATATTACTTAGGTCAAGTGCCTGTCATACCACTATCATTACTGACCTTTATATTCTGCCTTTGCATATCTGCTTCTATCCTACATAATATGCACACTTTCATGTGTTCTTTTCATTCGTATCAATCATTTGTACATTTAGGTCACTTCTGTAGTGTCTCTAAAACATCCAGTCTTCCTTCGTGAAGATTGCTTTGAGTGCAATACCTGGAAAAATGAGAGTTTTTTGAAAGGTAGAAGCGTTAACTATTTTAATTCATGTTTGTGGATAATAGAACTAGTTTATATCTGAGCATCTATAATGTTTTCCCATGAGAAGATTAGATTGGCTTGATTTTCTCTCAGGAAAAGCAGGATATAAGTAAAATAAATAAACCATGAGACTTTGTAAGCAAAAGGATCTCAAATTGTGGAAAAATAAAAATATTGCATTCTGAGTTAGGCTTTCATATGGTTTTTGAGTAATTTATGTAGAACAGATTTAAAATTTGTCAGATCTTCGTTTCCTGACTTCACTAATAATGGTTAGGTTTTGTATCACTTGACTTTCCTTCCTTCCTTCTTTCCTTCCTTTCCAGAGCTTCTAAAGTCTGTTAGAATAAACCTTATTTTCATACACAGCATTTTACAAGTGGTCCCAAAGTAAGGACATATGGGAAGAACAGCATCAAGGTGTTTTAAAGCAATGCTAGCATTTATTTGTTTGGTTGTTTGTTTGTTTGTTTGTTTATTGCATTTATACCCCTCCTATCTAGTCGAAAGACCACTCTAGGTGGAGTGGATCTTGGCTTAATCATACTTTTGTGGACCCTATTCATATCAGTGGGATTTAGATTAATTGTGATTAACTTGAGTCCTGTTGATTTCAATGGGTTTGCTCCAAGTTGGATTAAGTCTAGATTCAACCCGATGTCTTTAACAGCAAACTGTAGTCTCCCAATTTCCATCTCCAGGTTTTGAAACATATTGCAAATATAAATGCACTTAGTCATCCAGCCACACTTCTTCAGAATGAAAATATACCTATGAAAATCACGCTGATGTGAAAAGGACAATATCCTTGAATGCATATATGTGTTCTCAGGGAAAAAGCATCTCTTTGCCAAGGCACCTAGAGAAGGTGTTTGCTGTATTTTTACTATCCTGCAGTTGTCTCTCTTTTTTCTTTCTTTCTGGGTGCATCACCACCAATGAGAAGTGTCGTTAATTTCCAAAGCAGACGCTTTCAGATGGAAAACAGATACATAGGAATGGCAATCACAAAAATATAAAGCGATTAAAAAACAGTTCTAACTAGAGTTGTTCAAATAAAGAAAAATTAAAAACTCAATTAGAAACAAAAGTCATAGAAAATGTGAACATATTGTGTTCCTTAAATAACCAGATGTTCTTTTCTTCCTGAAGGCAGTCAAGCCTAGGAATAAAAGGTTTTAAACTATTGTTTTAACTTAACTGTGAATTTTGCAAATCTGTTTTACCCTATAGCAAATAAAATTCTAATACAGCAACATAAGCAAAGTAGTTCTCATTTGGGGGTGTTCTGATTTCTCTATGGTTGTGCTAACCTTATCACGATGACTTATTGCAAAGCTAAATTGTTATATAGGACATTACCATTTCAGATTGTGTACAAGAAAACTTGCCAGCTAACTTTTTTTGAGTGCTTACAGTATTTGTCGCAAGTATTCCCGCCAAAAGAAACTTTAGCAAATCTCCGAGAAGTGACAATAGTGACAATAGTGGAGCTGTAGTGATCTCAATATAAGGCAATTTAAGCACTGTTTGTTAATCATCATAAAGGAAGCCTAGAAGTTTCCATCTCTTTATATTATTCTATACTCACTTGGACCTTGGGATAGTTTTTGTCTAACAAGGTTTCCACATTGCACCAGAATATTTTAGGTGAGGGGCTGAAACATAAGCCCCCTGTATCCTAGCAAATGTTCATAGTGGCACTAAACAAATTGCAAGGGAAGCAAGGCCCTCTTTTTTGTTTAAGCCAGAGGAGTGGTTTCTCTGGCCAGTGCCAAATTTTTGTACAAACTAAATAAGCGATGATTTGTATCTTCTAAGTACAAAAAGACACAAATGTTAGATTAATGAACATGTTGGTGATGTTGTTGGGTCTCCTCAGCTTGACACAGTTTAGGGTTTCAGTTGCTGTATTTTAGCCCTTATGTCAAAAAGAGACAAGACCTGGCAGCTTTGGAATTAGAAACAGAGCTGTCTGAAGGAGCAAAGGACACAGGATTATCCTCTAGACTTGTTTGGCATCTTCGTGAGTTGCAAATTAGCTTATTTTTGTTTCATGATTGATCATCAAGAAGAAACAATGGACTCTATTTGCATATTGATTTCTGCCCTTTGATGAAAATATCCTTTAATTGCAAGGATGGGTTGGAAAGTTTGCTGATTTGATTTTAGTAACTGAACAGCAGATGCCTCATATGTCAGTGCCTTGCTGTGCATGTGCCATACCTAGCTGCACATCTGCAACATAATGACTTGATATCATAGTGCTGATTCAGTTACTGGCTACTTCACAATGTGTGCTAATGCATATTAAACAGTGTGCTATTTTGATAAAAATTGATAAAAGTTTCATACAATTTTTACAACGGGGGAAAAATTAGCAGAAATTTATTAGTTAATAAAGGCTGTCTATAGAAACAAATGTGTTGATGAAAACCCTTGTGAATGTTTTGATTCAAAGTACTAACCCAATTATGGATTGGTGCCCAGCCCTAATCGTAATCTTAATCT